GGAGTCAACCTAGCCAGGGGTCAACATGTAACGTCTTTTGAGTCATCCTTACAAGATGTCAGCGTGTCGAGTTGTCTGAACTGGGTCTTGGGTTATTTTGAAGTGTTTGCTCAATTACACATAATGTGGAACACTTGTCTACTATTGATTGGAGATTACTTTTCAGCACTAAAATGGCTATAACATATATGTATGCAAATTATGCTTATATTAAATGTATTTATATGTAAATATGCTTATATTAATAGCATTCATAATTTTGAAAACCTCATTTTCTTAGGTAAAATTACTATTACAAACGCTTTATATGCGTCCAAGATATTAATCAATCTAAACATACCTGAAGATGCTGATCTAAAAAGAAGGTACGTGATGAATTGCTTTATTTATTATCTATGTACAAGTAATTTGCCATTATTGCTAATTAATTAAATTTTATTTATAAGCCTAAAACTTGTAGAAGATTCTTCTTCTCAATGATTTGGTCAGATTCCAACTAAAAAAGCTTATTCAATCATGGATGATTTTCTATTATTAACCGAATGAGAGACACTTGATGAAATGCAAGAGACATGTGAGGTAATTATTTCAAAGAAAAGACTTTATATGTATTTTATACTATTTAGTTACAATATAAGATTAGTGGTAAACCAGATAATTGATCCAGAGAAACTTGATAACTTTGAATCAATATACTCATAATTTTATTTTCTTACTATTTGATAATACTCAGACATAAACATGTGTGACATTAGCAATTACAGGGAAAATTGAAAAGGATTACAATTGATTTTACAATGCCTGCAACAAATGTAAAAAAAAAGGTAAAGGCTAAAAACAAAATTTTTGGTGTGACAATTGCAACGAAAATGCAAAATTATTATCCTAAGTTGTGTGTGAAAATATGTATGTGAGATCCATTCCAAAATTTTATATTTAATTATATGCTTAACGGATGGATGTTTGAATTTTTAATGTCATTTTAGATTATTATCCTCATTGGTTTGTTTTAATTTTCAAGTTTCATTAGGTACATGGTTCATGTATTAATCTATGCATTGACCATACAAGGACTGCATCATTTGTCCTGTTTGATTATGAAGCTAAATAGATTATTCAAAAAACTACAATCGAATTAAGGGAAAGATTAACAAAAATAATCACTATAATTATTATTTTTAGATTATGAGTTTCAATTAGAAAACTCTACTTTGGGTTTTTATATTATTCACAAGAAGATGATGATGATTCATTTCCTCAAGAGTTAGGTACCTCGGTGAAAGGAAACTTCTATTTAATAGAATTCAACCTCAAACAAAGCTAGTCTATATTTTTTGTTTCTAAAATGACTGATGATGAAGGTCTAATAGCAGCATTCTTAGATAGCTCAAATTTGAATTAGGTATACATCACATATTTATTCTTTTTATGGGGTATATATCTATCATTTTCTACATCAGTTTGCATACATAAATGAGGCTAAGAAATATAAGTAATCTCTTTTATTTTTGAATCATTAGGAGTCAACATGTCAAAAATATTTTACCAATGGAACTAAATCCTCCAAAAAGAAAGAGGATATTGATAATGTAAGTCAATACAATTAGTATTATTTTCCTTTTTCATTTCTCATGTTCATAATTTTTTTGTGACAGAAAAGATAAGTATTCACTTCATTTCAAAAAAGCATTGTATGTACAAACTCCATTCGGACTCAATTATGATAAAGCCAAATACTTACAAAAATATATCTACACTCACTATTTCAGAAAACAATAGAAGACGATCTGATCAAGACAAAACTCTCAACAAACCTAACATTTAAACAAAATTATTCACAAAACTACTTGACATATAAACAAGCATTATATAAACACAATATTTTGGCGACACTTATATTTAACTTTTGTTTGTTGGCAATGAATGTTAAAAAAGACTTGCATAAAGGAGAAAATCCAACAACTTTTTGTTTGATGAATTTTGTCTTTTGTATCTCATTCATTAATCTGACCAAAATCAAAAAAAAAAAAAAAATCCTAAAAGTCATATTTGATACATATCTATTACGTGGCAACCCTAAATCGCAGATTGCAATGAAATAGTTTAGATGATAAAAACCAAAAACATTAAATTTGTAAGTCCCATTTTTTAAAATTACAAAGTTATACTATTCTCAATAAATGCAGATAGCACTAGGAACAATATTCTCTATATAGTAGTGAACAAACACAAAAATAGGCATTCTACATATAGTGATAGCTAACGATAATTTAGAATTAAAATACATACTAGACCGGATATAATTTTTTTTTGATCAAAAACAAGGGATAAACCCTGTCATATGTATTAAATAACAAGTTTTACAAAAAACAGGATACGAATTGTATCCAAAAATTGGAAGATAGAAAGACTAGTTTCTCAATACTAGTGATATATGACTAGACCGGATATAATTATATCAATATATGATCTTTTTTGTAGAGAGCCGACAAATAATTTACATGAATTCTTGTTGGGGTCACTCCACAGACCTTCAGCGAACTAAAGTCAATCTAAATTTTGCCACAAATATCATTATAAAGCTTTTGTGAAGTTAGTAAAGTAGTAAAGTTAACAAATGCATATCTATAGTTACATCCAGTGCTGCTCCATTTTCCCAAATTATTATTATTTTTATTACACAAATAAAAAGGAAATCAAACCAAGGTACTCTACTCATTCTATACTTACGTTAATTTGCTTATATCATTTTAGATAGTCATTTTTTCAATATATATAACAGCATTCGAAACAAGTTAAGATAATGGATATGGCTTTATTTTTTATAGAGATATCAAAATAGCTAAGGTTACTCAATTTTCACTCAGAAGATAAGTTGTGGCTTTAGAGAATTGCAAACCTTAGAGCTTTTCCAACCGAACGTTATCCCTTCAATTTGACGCAAAAAAAGTTACTGTTTCTCCTCCAACCGAACGCTTTCCCCAGCGCCATTTTGGGGGAGAGCTACAGTGCTGCGCCAGATTTGGCGCAGCACTGTAGCTTTGGCGCAGTGAATTTTTTTTTTTTTTTAGCCATGGAGTTTATTATTTTGTTGGTTTTTAATGTTTCTCTTTTTATTCATGATCAAAATATTTCATGGTAGCTTTTATTTTTTTAATTATTTTGATATGAACTATTATAATAAAATTAGATTATAAAATAATTATTAAAATCAAATTCAACAATGGAAAAAATAGATAGTTTAATCCAAACACTTAAAATTTCATAATACTAGAACCAAATAGAACATTGAACATAAACTAGAACAACATTGGAAATTAACACTAATTGCAATACATTAAAATTAAAGGAAAATAGAACATTGAACATAAACTAAAACAACATTTCAGTATTCTAGGAAATTATCATCAGAAGGACGAAGATGCTCGAAATATTGGGCAAAAGTACCAGAACCGGTATTTTGAGATCCTTCACCTTGTTTAGTTCTTTTATGCATAATTCTTGATTGTTCTTGTACAAGAAACTCATGTAGTTTTGGATCAGTTACTTGTGTCAAATCTTTCAGTAAAATTAAATTTTCTTCTCGTAATTCTTCCACGTCCACTTTTTTGGCTGCAGTTTGAGCTCGTAACATTTGGATTTCATAATTTAGTTGCCTATCAGCATTATTTTTTTCCATAATTGCAAGCATTTTTTGATTCTCTTCTTTCATATACTCCATAAACTTAGAACTTTCTTCATCATTTCTCTTTTTAAATTTTGCTTTCCGTACCCCTATAGGTCTTTCAGAAGTACCACCAAAATCATTGTCATTCATATTAAAATCGAATGAAGCCAGTCCAGGAGATGCTTGTGTGGGAGAGTCTGAAGTGGGAGAGTACTCTGATTGTGATGATGCAAAGTTACCATGTTGCATACGTCCCACTTGAATTCCAGCATTAACATCTGCAAATTTTTCGATATCTTTCAAGATGGGCCATACATGATCGAATTTGAATCCCTTCTTATAATTCTTATCCTGAGCAAACAACACTTTAGCCCGATTGAACTGCAAAATGATAACACATCAATGACAACATATCAACTTCTATCACACATCAATGACAACATATCAACTTCTATCACTTCATGACGACATTTCAAAGAAAAGACATCTCAATGACAACATATCAACTTCAAACACTTCATGACAACATATCAAAAAAAAGACACATCAATGACAACATATCAACTTCTATCACTTCATGACGACGTTTCAAAGAAAAGACACCTCAATGACAACATATCAACTTCAAACAATTCATGACAACATATCAAAGAAAAGACACATCAATGACAACATATCAACTTCTATCACTTCATGACGACATTTCAAAGAAAAGACACCTCAATGACAACATATCAACTTCAAACACTTCATGACAACATATCAAAAAAAAGACACATCAATGACAACATATCAACTTCTGTCACTTCATGACGACATTTCAAAGAAAAGACACCTTAATGACAACATATCAACTTTAAACAATTCATGACAACATATCAAAGAAAAGACACATCAATGACAACATATCAACTTCTATCACTTCATGACGATATTTCAAAGAAAAGACACCTCAATGACAACATATCAACTTCAAACACTTCATGACAACATATAAAAAAAAGACACATCAATGACAACATATCAACTTCTGTCACTTCATGACGACATTTCAAAGAAAAGACACCTCAATGACAACATATCAACTTCAAACACTTCATAACAACATTTCAAAGATAAGACACCTCAATGACAACATATCAACTTCAAACACTTCATGACAACATTTCAAAGAAAAGACACATCAATGACAACATATCAACTTCTAGCACTTCATGATAACTCTTCATGACAACATTTCAACTTCCAACACTTCCCGTTTATCATCTCCATCTATTATAAAAGCTCATATTGATGAGTTTGCTAAAATCATAAACCTTTATTTTCAAAAAAAATGAATTTTAACAATAGAGATCCTTCTAATTTGTCATCATCATTTTCTGATAATGAAATTGAAGATGAACAATTGATAGATGATATTGAAGCGATTGATGCAGAAAGGGAAGCGGTGTTTCGCATCAGGAACAACAACAATCTTCTCATGGCTTACTATATCAATCAACAAAACAACCAAGTAATTCGTGGAGGCTCAATTCCTGGTCATATAGTGATCAACCGTGATCGAGAAAATGCTGATCGTAATCTGTTCAACGACTACTTCTCTGAGAATCCGCGATATAATGATTCGATGTTCCGCCGACGATTTCGAATGTCTCGAGATTTATTCCTTCGCATTGTTAACGCCATAAAAGCTCACGACACTTACTTTATACAGCAAAGGGATGGGGTCGGTAGACTTGGATTGTCTACGCTTCAAAAAATTACAGCTGTGTTCCGAATGTTGGCATATGGTCTACCAGCGGATGCTACTGATGAATACATTAAAATAGGAGAGTCGACAGCAATCGAAAGTTTTAAGAGATTTTGTCGTGCTGTTGTGGAGGTTTTTGCAGAACAATATCTGAGATCGCCTAACACTAATGACATTGCCAGACTACTACATATTGCTAAACAACGAGGTTTTCCAGGAATGTTGGGCAGTCTAGATTGCATGCATTGGAAATGGAAAAATTGTCCAACGGCTTGGGCGGGCCAATACGCAGGTCGTAGTGGATCCCCAACTATTATTCTGGAGGCCGTAGCTGATTATGATCTTTGGATATGGCATGCATATTTTGGTTTGCCAGGTTCCAATAATGACATTAATGTTTTAGAGGCATCTCATCTTTTTGCAAAACTCGCTGAAGGTATTGCTCCTCCTGCTCATTATGTCATTCAAGGTAAACATTATAACATGGGTTACTATTTAGCTGATGGTATATATCCAAAATGGTCTACTCTTGTACAAACAATTCATGATCCTCGTGGTCCAAAAAAAAAGTTGTTTGCAATGAAGCAAGAAGGATGCAGAAAAGATGTAGAACGTGCATTCGGAGTACTCCAATCTCGATTTGCAATTGTGTCAGGACCAGCTCGTTTTTGGAAAAAAGAAGTATTACATGATATCATGACTGCGTGCATTATTATGCACAACATGATAATTGAGGATGAACGTGATCTTAATGCTACAATTGAAAATTGGAAGGAAGCACCAGTTCCGGACGTAGAGATGGTTGTAGATGAAAATGCTCGGTTTGAAGGATTTCTGGCTCGTCATCGACAAATCAAGAATAAAGAAGCTCATATTGCACTTCGAGATGCATTAATTGATCATTTGTGGGATGAATATACTAATTCGGAGACTTAGAATTTTATCAATATGGACCGTGTCTTTGTGTTTTATTTTATGTTAAATGTAATGCCTTTTATTTTTATTTTTATTTTTGCTTGCAAGTGTGATGTTTTCTTTTGTGATGTTAAATGTAATCTTTAGTTGAAGTTATGAAAGTAATATTTTAATTTGATTTAGCATTTAATTTTTATATTTTTATTTTATTCATAAAATATATTATTGTAATTAATTATATGTATTATATAATTATATAATTTGTTAAATATTTTTAATTTCAAAAAATATTAAAAGATAAGAATAATAAAAGGAATATGCTTTTTGGTGTAATATTTGGTGTAATGGGTTGGAGATGGAATAGTAATTTTGTGTAAAAACTACACCAATTTGGTGTAAAAACTACACCATTTTGAGTTTTATGGTTGGAGATGCTCTTAAAGACCTTTTGAGTTTCCTGAACCTTGTAAGATATTGTAATTTTGTGAATAGTACTTGAAATCAATCAGTAGGTAAATAACATCAAATTCAGGGAATATTGTCACAGACATATTATCAACCTGTTGAAGCTACTCATTAGCCTTTTGACACTATTCATAAAGCAATGCTAGCACCTTTTCCTTGACATACAAACCAAAACAATTTAAATAGTTAACTGAACAATGCATTTACTTGATGATGAAATAATTAACCATATATTAATTGACAATAGTAGCTAGCTTAAATACTCAAATTCAATGGGGAGATTTCTGATGATAAGTTGTCATAGTAGTCCTTTTAGAAGTAACACTAATTTCTTTAATGTCTTTGTCAGTAGTATCTTTTGCTGCTGCGGTTTTCACCATTATCACTTTGGGTTGCCTATTTCTCTACGCTTTAGTACTGATCTCTTGATGCAAGAATCTTTTCCTAAATCTCTTTAACATGTTAACTTATGTTATATTGAAATGCAGAACTCCCTTTTTGTAACTTGTGACGATGAAACTGAAATTTATTCCTTGGATAACATTACTCCCTCCAAGAGGAATTTGTTAGAATCTGATATATTTAGTTTCTAACTTGATTTCTTCATAAATGTCAAGCAACAAAAAGCAGAAACATATTAAAATTGAAGACGAGAATTGGAACATTCTGAAGAGAGATGAAGCTGCTTTATTGAAAAATCTCTGTCTAATATATGATGTCTAAAACCTATATCTATTCCTCTATAATAATGGGAGGACCCAAGAACCACTATTTATACTACAGTAATTCACTGTAGTATTATTACTGTAGCACTTTTCAAAAAATATCACTGTAACATAGGCAAGGATACTGTAGCATTATTAAAAAATTACTGTGTTAATTTAAAAATATATTGATGTAGCAGAGTAGCAGAGGTGGGATACTGTAGCATTTTAAAAAAATACTATAGTATTTAAAAATATTTCTACCGTATTTAAAAATACATTGTAGCAATTAAAAACAGGATTACTATAGCGATAAAAAAAGGGAAGGCCATGCTAAGCACGGGACATACACTAGTTTAGTATTCTAGTCTAAAAACCTATTTAGCAAACTTTTGTATGAACTATATTTTTTTTGGTGGTTTTACATTCAGAAACTTATCTACTTGATATAATTGTGGCAAATATTTTGTTTATCAATGAGTTGATAAATATGGGTTTCTTTTATGGATCTATATACTTGATAAATATCTCTATATACTTGAAATATTTTGTGTGAAGAAAAACTTGATGCTGCATAATTTAGTATGACAATGTTATACCATTGAGCATATAGATTTGAGAGATTTTATCAACTTTGTTGTAATAACATGGAATTTAAAAATCAATTCTTGTTCACAACTTAAATAATAGCAAATTAAACATATATGCAATTTAGGTTATATCATTTCTGAGTCATTCTTTGTTATTATTATTATCAATTTGCATTCTTTTGCTACATTAATTTTTAAATATTAAACAAATATGTGCATCACGCGGGCCAGAAACTAGTTAATACCAAAAACTTGATGTGTTCTAAATAAAACGTTGCAAGTGCATAACTACTATGTGTAGCATGCAAGTGTCGATCTCATGAGAAAGGAGTGTTATTAAAAAGTCCTAAAGTAGTTCTTGAAATATAAAAGAAAAGCGAGAGAGTGTATGCGTAGAGATTGGTTTGGGCATGATTGTTTCAAATAAAAAGGCTAAAAATAAGAAATGAAAATGAAAGAAAGAAAAGAAACAAATGAAAGAAAATAAGAAAACAAGAAAGAGAATAAAACCAAAAGAAGAAGCAAATAAAGAGATGGGGGAGAAAATCAAGTGAATAAACTAGGAATGTAGGATTGAATCCACTAGTTAATTCCTATTTATATTTAAGAAATACTCTCTTTTATTTCTCATATTACTTAGAATTCTTAAGCATAAATTATCACGTTATTCAAAATAAGCATAACCTATCAAAAACATATTCAAGCAATATTTCCATTCATAAATAGAAATAAACAACTAGGTAGTAATTCTAGAATTAAAAAAAACATAAACTATCAAACCATATAAGATAAATATAATTTATCAATTTCTTTCTACCAATTATCATTCTAGTTGATTATAATAACCATGATCATTTAAGTACAAAAAGAGAGCAATTCAAAAACCAAAAAGGAAATCAAACTAGTTTCATCTAGTCCTAGAAATCCTAAAGAATTAACTACTCATACTACAAAAGCAAATAAATGCTAAATTACAAAGCATGAATGAAAAGCAAGAAAAAAAATCTAAATTACAAAACAAGAATAAAAAGCAAGAAATTAAAAGCTATACTAAAAAGCATAAATAAAATGCAAGAATAAAAATCTAAACTACAAAGCATGAAATAAAAATAATCCTAAACATGCAATTCTAAATAAGAAACTAAAAGAGGAAAAATAGAACCTTACATTGTAAGGGGACATCCCCTTGTGAAGCAAATCTTCATCAACAAAAAATAAGAGGAAGAAAATTAAAAAGAGGAATTTTTATTTATTTATTACAAACTAAAGTTTATAATTTTAGAAGCCTAATTAAAGGTCTCTCCTGTCCAAAAAAAAAAGAATTTTATAAAATTTTTGCATCTCCCTCACTCTCACTCTCTATCCTATTTATAGCCTACAACAACTAACATCAGACCTTGGATCAATCTTGGGCTCCAATGAATCAAAATAAGTCATTCATAGTTTTTGCTAGAAATTAATCGATTAGCTCATCGATTAGTTTGTAACAAAATTATGCTTTCTTGAGTTGATTTGTTGACTGGACTCTTCTTAGGCTTTTGGGCTTCCTCCAGACTTATTTTAGGCTTCAGGTAGAGGTACCTTGGGCTTCCTTAGTCTTTTATTTAATAATTTCTTTATTTCTTATAAATCCATATAACAACCAATATTAGCAATTATATTTATTCAATAAATAGATATTAAGGATACAAAAGTGCAATAAAGTATAGTAATCAGTACATAGACACCTTTTAGTTCCTTACTTTGCGCTTCTATATTCTTAAGTTTTTAGAATTTACACTTTAGTATTCTATGTTATGTAAACATGTGAACATTCTCATGAAAATTTTCGCATGGCATTTACATGCTAATTTAAAAATGTGTTAATTCTTTATTTTTTTAACCTTATTATTAAATCTATTATAATTATATTTTAAAATAGAACAAGGGTAGGTTTAAAATGGGTTTAAGATGAGTTTAACAGTAAATTTAGTGAAAATTAAGAGTTAAAACTTCTACGATTTGCATGTGTCATATAGAAATTTTCAATTAAAAATTCTCACACTTACTTAACATGTGAAGTACTAAAAGTGAAAATTTTAAAAACTCCAATATGTCTAAGTTCTATCAAAAACTAATGAGAGTTTATAATTGCAAAATGGAGGAAACTAGAAGGTATTTTACTACTACTTAGCCTTTACCTTGGGAAACTACTGTGCTTTCTATTCACTAAGATTAAAAAATATATCAAAACTTTTAAACAATGACTAGTAAAAAATTAGGCTAAATAGCACTTAACTACCTTATAATTTCACTCCCTTGACCTATACTTGAAATACCATATACTTAGCCTTTTCCTTGGAAAATTTTCTTCCATCTCTTTGACCTATCAAAATTATTAAATATACACTCTCTTTCTCCTTCGAGTTCTTCTAATTCAAATTTCTTCCCCCCTTTTACCCAATAAGACCCTCCTTCACTCATTTTTCCCTCTCATCAGTGGACTCCTACTCTTTCTCCTTCAAACTGTCCAACTCAAACCTAAACCCTAATCCAAATTGCTATTGACTTGAAGGATGGTTGTTATGGTTGAATTAGGGTTTAGGTTTAAATTGACTTGGATGAATGTTGTTGGGGTTGAAGAAGAAAGAGGGCATTAAGGGAGGATCCTATTGAGTAAAGATGTGAGCAAAATTTGAATTGGAGAAGGTTGAAGGAAAAGAAGAGTATAAACTTAATAATTTTGATAGGAATAAAGGATGAAGAATGATATAATTATATATATATATATATAATATATATATATATATATATATATTATATATATGAGAAATGGGTAGATTGGTACGCATAGTATAATTTGTGTTTGGTAGTGAGGTGTCATATTCACGATCCATTCATTCTAATTCCCAACCAACTCGCCCACATGGTGAATGTGGGCCCAATTTTAGATGACGTGGAGGGATATAGACACCTCCACTGACCAAGGCTCCAAGCGATACACGATTCTCTTTCTCTTCTCTCTCTCTCTCTCCTCTCTCGTCTCTCTCTGCTCTCTCTCTCTTCTTTCTCTCTTTTAATATATATATATAATATATATATATATATACTCATATATATATATACTTATATATTATTATATATATATATATATATCATATAATACTATATATATATATATATATAGCACCAGCAGCAAACTTGGGCTTTATAGTGAGTTGACACATGTGTAATCAGCTCTTTCTAGATATTTTAACTCATGTGCACCCATGTAAATGTGGTACCGCCATTTTATGAAGTGAATATGAATGAGCCACCTCACTGACCAAGACGAAAGT